CCCCAAAACCCCAAAACCCCAAAACCCCAAAACCCCAAAACCCCTTTGTATTGCTAATAATTGAAATTGCACAAGGTAAGTTAGACAAGTTTAAAGGTATTATTTGTCAAATCTGAGTTTTAAGATTACATCCATGTCTCCCATCAGGGAGAACTTCTCTTTCACAGTGATAGCTCATCCTCTATTATTCGGTGTCATTCACACCTTCACCAAATTATCCTTCGTGTTCTTAGTTCCTACGATTAGGAATGGGAACTTTAGTTTGTCTACAACTTCTGTGTACACCTTTGCTGATGAGCTTCAGCGTTTATCTTCATGAATTTTGTCTGTTAGTTCCTGACCTATAAATCTCGAGTTTTTCCTCTCCTTCTCTTCTTTATTTTGATTTCTTGATATTAGGTTATTCAGAGCGTTTAATTTTGCTTCTACCTCTTGTTTTATAATATATTTGTTATTTATAGCTATTTTTCTTAAATTTATTGCTTTTATAATATCTTTCTTCTTTGTCTCATGCTTCTTTTTCACAGTGAGTTTCAAGCCTTTTATCCTATTTTGTGGATGCTCTTCAAACATTACGTTTTTATTAGAATTTTTCCGAAGAACGCCAGATGCGATAAGAACATTGAGGGCATCATAAACACGTCTTCTGACATTCTTTTCATCTTTGGTTTTCTTCTCACTGCTTGATCTTTGGTCCAGCTTCCTGCCACTGTCATCGTATTCACTATCTCTGACGAGTTCTTCAATAAGCCTATTAGCAACATCTTTGTAGGAGGTTTCTTTAAGTCTGAACACAAGATCTCTGACTTTTACGCTAAGTCTTTTAAGACCTCTCTCGCTCCTAGAGTTTTTAGTGCCAGGATTAATTTCAGACACAGCATTGTTGCTCTCGCTTTCCTCTTGGTCTTCATTATGGATCATAATGACATCCTTTTGTCTCTTAATTAGCTCTGTTGCTTTTTCTACCTCAGAATCCTCTTTAAGATGAGGTGTCTCATGTGAACTTCCTTGAGAGTAACCCTCCTCATATCTATCTGGGCAAGGAGAATAAATTAAGCTGTTCCTTAGCCTAGGATCAGGATAGATGCCTCTTGGTGGCATAATGAAGAGGGAAGGGCTCCTTCTCTTCTTACCACATATGTCTTCACAGATTTGATGAGAATCGAACGTTTCTGGGAAACCTCTAAAATTACTATCCTTTGGGTTTGAAATAATCTGCATAAATTGCGGTATACTTGCTTTCTTTGGTCCAGCCAATTTTGTATCTGAGAAAGAAGGAATGAGATGCTTGTAATCCTCATAATTCGGCTTCATTGGAGTGTTCATGACTGAGTTAAAAGCAGAGTTATTCAGGCTGAACCCTTCATGTTTCCTTGGGGATATACACTCTAATAAACTTTGCTTAGCTTCTTCTTTAATAGGTGTTTTCATTATCTGAATATTATCGGTAAACTCCGACACTTCATCAATTGTATCCTTCTTCGGCTGATCTCCAGAGGCAGATATGTTTTCAAAGACATCAGCTAGGTTTCTCTTAAGAGAAGAAATATCTCTAGATCTTTTAGCCAGATGTATCCTCTTATCATTAAGAGGATAATCCATGCAATGGTTGGTTAAATCTCTCGTCCTTTGACAGCTCATGGAGATATTATTCCCGTCGTTCATCCCAGTTAAAGGGTTTCCTTTCAGTGGCTTCTCTGCTGTATAGATATGTGAAACATCCTTGAATGCTGACCTTCTGTTCCTTATGGGGGATGGTGGTACATCCTTATCAGTAGCAATGAGTTCTTCCTTACAAGTCATATCTATCTCGCCAGAGTCTGAATCTACTTCCATTTCGCCTTTATCTTCATTTTTAATTTCTGTTTTCAAATTCGTTATTTTGGGTGATAACTTTTGAAGATTTCTGGCGAGAGGCTCCAGAACTTCTTTAGTCTCTTCTTTCACCTGGAAGGTTTCTACTTTTGCTTCTTTTTCACCTAGATCTTGCGTTAAAGTTGAGAATAAGAAATCATACCTTCTGTATCTTGGTTGTAATGAGCCTCAGCCTTTACTTCTGTTTTATCATGCTGGGCTATCTCTTCCTTGACAGCTTTAGCTCTATTCTTACTCTTTTCAATATTTCTGGCCGATTTCCTAGGAGTTGACTTTTGAAAATTTTCTTGCTTAATTTTTAGAAATTTTCCGGGACTCTTGTTATCTTTTGCAATTTCATTATTTAGATTTTCTAGGAAATCTTTGAGAAGAATTCGACACTTCTCAAAGCGTTTCTGCTTACGGTCATATCCCAATTGTTCGTAGACGGGGTTTATAATGTTCCTGTATTTTGAGGTCTTTCTGTAAAGAGTGATTAGATTCGTGGAAACATTCCTCTGAACTCTCTTTGATTTCCTATTTTCTCTTCTGTGTGGTATTTGTACCTTCTTGTCAAGCAGAGTCAATCAAGATTGACTGTATGTTCTCTACTAAGCTGGGCTCTAACTTTTTGGTTGATTTTATTGAATTCCAAAGTGATTTATTTTCACTTGAATAGTTCATCTTTATGTCGAAATAATTATTCCAAATTTTATTCATTGAAATATGTGAATTGGGGTTTTGGGGTTTTGGGGTTTTGGGGTTTTGGGGTTTTGGGGTTTTGGGG